CAAGTTTTAAGTCACTCCAAAGGTACATGTATATGCTATTATAGTGCTTATCAGCTCATGAAGCTCGTGCTTTTTAGCTCACTTAGCATGCTTTGTGGAAAACCCTACACATAAATACATGTACCGGTACATGTTTGCTGCATGTAGTACATGCAAAGGTGGGACCGTGAGAGATACATTAACTTGTATCTGTAATTAAGTTAGGATATTAAAAGGATAACAACTCAGGATATCCCTACACTAATAGTACCAGGATCAATTTCCTATCAAGATTCCCCCTACTAACAGACAGCAAAGGGCAGGAATGCACGAGTATGTACTCATATACCATGAAATAATGAAAACAAAATTAAACAGAAGTCAACAAAACTCATAATATATTTGATTAAAAAAGCATTTTTGCCATACAAGAAGGACGGAAACACAAACAGTTATTAAACATACAGAGACTCCCATACTACATTCCCACCACACATTCGGATACTGCACATACCAAGTAATAGATACAAATACATTCACAATTTCCCATATAATAATAAATAATACATACACACATACATGTACACACACCTTATTGGTTGGTTTATTGATAGCTATAACTGGCTGAATGCCAGCAGGTGTGTCCACCATTACATTAAAATGACCAGTAGAAGGAGGACCGATACTGTGAGAAGGCTCCACCCCGTAATTAATAATACCCCATTGCTCCAGTAGGCCATGGATACGAAGAATAGAACCAACATCACCGGCCAGGTTCCGCCTGCAGGCGGTTGTTGAGAGATATTCGGTTGGATTAAGACGAAAACTGTCTACCATAAAGTTACGATAAGCAAGATACCTATAAAGACAAAAAGCACAAAAAAATCTTAGTTTCATACATGTACATGTATATATACACTCTCTAAATGATATACTTTAAAATACGAGTATTTTACTTTCTTCATTACCCCTCTCTGTCTCTGTCTCTCTCTCCTTCTCACGTTTCTGGTGTTTTCGATTTATTTCTTCCATTAAAGAACTCAGGCAAGGACCGTTTCTCAATAGCATGAATGCTATTATAATCAAACCAAGAGGAGTAGCTTGGGATTATAATTTTATTCACTTGACGGACGGCAGAGTCCTCCCCTGGCATCTCCTCTTGAGTAGTGAGTATCCTTTTCTCTTGTTCCTCTCTCCCCCCGCCTTTAATCTCTTCTCCAATCACTCCGTTTGAAGCAAGAGGAGGTTGTGATGATGATGAAGTATCAGTAGTAGTTGTAGCAGTGGTGGAGAGAGGAGGAAGAGACTGTTCAGTTTCCATTGGTTCATTATTGACTGCATTAGGAGGGGGAGGGTCAGTAGGAGGAGCTACAGATGAACCAGCTGATGATTGTACTGTTGGTGGTAGCTCTAGTAATAAAGTAGGAGGCATTCCTATGAAAAATGAAGATTTCATAACAGACTTTATAGCTAGTACAAGGTATCTATGTAATGCATGTATATAATATGCTCTTTGATGCAGTTAATGTATTTATAATGTACATGTACCTTCAGTCTCGTTAACAGTGGGTGGAGCTTCTTCAACATGTGGTACAGGAGGAGGGGCAGGTAGATCTTTAGTTAGATCTCTACAAAATTAAATGAATATATGTATCGTCAGCTACTCTCTTCTTTCCCTCTCTCTCTCTTCTCTTTCATACAAACTCTATCCAGATGTACATGTTTCACTCACTCGTCTTCATCTTGAATTGGTTTCACTCTCCTAGTAACTGTTCCTCTAAATAAATAAATAAATAAATAAATACATAAATAAATAAATAAATGATTGAATGAATAAATACATGAATTACAAGTACGTGTACCTCTTTCTCTTCTTGATGGTGTCCCCTGGTGATGGAGAGGCTGACCTCTTCCTCTTGGTTCTATCACGTTTGACGCTCTCCATAGAATCACTCTAATTAATGCACACCAGATAAAAATAATTACTACACTTTAAATTTTTGGAGCAAAAAAAAAGAAAATTTTGAATAGAGAATAGGCTTACTTCTTCAGGAATGTTAGCCACTCCTCCTCCTCCTCCTATAGCCATAGATAAGGTTCGCTTCATTAAATTATTAGTAGGGAGGGCTTCAATCCAATGACCTTCATTAGTCTGTATAATAATAATAATAATAATAATAATAATAATAATAATAATAATAATAATAATAAATAATAATAATAATAATAATAAATAATAGCAATGTAATATGTAAAGTAGAACTTTCATACAAACACACATTGTCCACCATTACGCGTACATACCATAATCATCTCATAGTCTTCTTCATTCATCCATTCATTGAACTTGTCACTGTCCTCAATCCAATGGTGGCTCACGTACCACTGCTTCAGACTAGGAGGCTCAAGAATCCCAGGGAATGAGTTCAGGCCGACCTCACTCGGGGATACTATGCTGTCGTAACTATACAATGTATGATATAAGTCACATAATTATCACATGACTGTATCCAACGTACCTGTCTGGATACTGGTACCAATGGATGAGCATTGACTTTCCTCTTTGCTCCAAAGGACGAAATAAATCATCTTAAGAATAAAACTAAACTAAATGCATGTATTCACAATATGCTTCATGACGTATATAAATTTTAAAGTCAGTGGTTTTGTACATGTACATATGCAACAAGGCAATGTGTATAGCTCATTAACTATAAATTATTATGCACAGAAAATTAGGGACATCATTAAACATATATGTATACATGCACATACATACATATGTACATGTACATACATGT